TCCCCTCCCCCTCCCCACCCTCCTCCCGCACCCTTGCGCACACCCCCCAGGGGTCCCTTGTGCGGCGAGTAGCTCATGAACACCCGGGTCATGATGCCTTCTCCCCGGGTTAGGTGTACGAACAAGCTCCTGCAGGACGCACCCATACACATACACATACACACACGCACACAGGGCACACGGCGGCGGCGATGTGTGGCAAGCGGAGATGAGTACCGAGCAATACGTTGTTAGGAGGACAGGCAGCTGGGAGCTGCATCACCCAGGAAAGCACGGGCAACAGCAGAAGGAAAGATGATATATATACCCAGTATGTATACATATACATATATACATATATACATGTATATCCACATTACGCACATATATGTATCCGGTTCATAAGGCTCTCACATTCCACTATATCCCAACTGAACCGCCGGACGACCTGCCTGCCCCCCGAGCAACCGTAATGCCGTAGATCCCCCATCCACATCCACAACTGCAACAGACAGAAGCCCATGTACACCACATGAAACGTGTGGAACATGTGAAACTCCCTTTCCTTCCCCCAATACACACGCACACGTTCTTCCCCCCATTTCCCCCCTCACTTGAATCCGATGAGACCCCGGGAGGGTGCGACGAAGGTGAGTCGCTGCTTGCCTGCCCCGGACAGAGGCCCAGAGGCGTGTGTGTATGTATGTGGGGGGGGGGGGGTAAAGGGAGGGGGAGCGAGAGGAGGGCAGAGGGAGGAAGGGACTGACAAAGTGTTTATATACACCCCCGAACGAGCAGCGGGAGGGGGGATGTAGAATGAGGAGAAGAAGAAGCTGATGAAATGGAGGAGAGTGAAGAGCACCCAGGGAGGGGAGGGGAGGGGAGGGGAGGGGAGGGGAGGGGGGAAAACCAGGGTTTGCGGAGTCGCGCAGACCCAGCCCCAGACCCAAACACTCCCTCTAAGCCCGGGTACGAACAACCAAAAACACCAACTCCCTTCCCCTCCCGCCCACCCCTGGGCAAGCCCTCCCCGCAACCACTCCCCCAATACACACACAAGCTCTCTCTCCTTTCCCCATGTTTCTACTCGCAGCACAATCTGGTATGAAACATATCCAAAGATCTTTATAAAAACATATTCCCTCTTCCTCCCCTCCCCCTAATGTCTCCCGCGCCCTCCCGCCCTCCCTCTCACCCGACTCGGGCAGCGGTGTCATGTCCGTGAGCTCGGCCCGCCGCTGGGACAGCGCCTCGATCACCGACCCCGCCACCTCCTCCGCCACCTCCACCACCACCTCCTCAACAGGCTCCAACACCTGACCGCCCTCCCGCCTGAAACACGCAAAACACACACAACACCACGCATTTTGAGCAGCAGTCGCTTACATACATACGGACAGGGAGGCGGGGGCGAAGGGGTATAGGGGTATACAGGACAAACAGCCAACTAGACAGCAGCCGGCAGTCAGCAGGTTGCCTAATTAGGATCAAAAGAGGAGGTACAAAGGAGGGAAGGAGACGAATCACACACACACGAGCTGGAAGCTGATACCCTAGGGATAGAAGGATACTGAAGCACGAATAGGGAAAAGGGAAAGGGGGGACTCCTGGAGCAAACCCCGGGTGCCGTAAACACAGGCAGACAGCCAGGTAAGGCAGCTTGGTGCGGCAGCACGACAAGTTGGGGGGGAGGTTGGGGGAACTGAGATCGACGGCTGGAGTCAGGGCTCGCCCAACGACGTCACATCACGCCACATCTCACGCTGCATCGCTGACTGACAGCAAAAGGAAGCCCTAATAGCCAGGAAGCAGCATAACGCCCTGCCCAGCATGGAAAGCCCCTCTAAATCCCTACAATACCCAAACCGTAAAGTGTAAGGCCCACCTTTTCCCAGCGGTCCTCGTAACCTACCTGAGCAGCACCTGCGGCGGCGACACCGCCAGCTCCGCCCCCTCCCTCCTCATACCCTCAATCAACACGCCCAGCTGCAACTCCCCACGAGCTTGAACCTCGTAACGCTCCATGCCACCTGCGCGTGCGTATGTACGTACCAGAGATATTTTTTTGCGGAATATTATTCCGAATTCGGAATAAAAAATTGTTCATGGTCCTGAAAGTTAAGAATAAATAATGTTCCGACCGTATATATGAGTGTGTTAGAAGGGAATGCTCTGAGAGCCGCGTGGGGATGCTACGACGAGTACCGTTGTCTGTGTGTTTGTGTGTGTTGTGGTGAGGAAGGGGAGCGGGGAGGGGGGGAGGGAGGTAACAGTCGACCACCCGACCAACCAGTGGCCCGGTAGTACTTTCCTCGCCCTCTTCGTATAATTGCGACAAAGACCGATCCTCCGCAAGCTCGCTGAGAAATCAGTAGGGGCTAGGTGGTAGTAACGTCCCCCCAACCTCCTTCCCTCCCCCCTTCCCTCTCATTCAATCCCCTTTCCCCCTTTCCCTACCCCCTCCCCTTACCCGGCACCGGCACCACCTTCAGACTGACGCTCGTCTCCGCCTCCGCCATCAGCCGCTCCCCGATGGCCCGGCCGGTGAGGGCCTTACCCGCCCGCCCCGCCAGGGGGGAGTCGTTGGGGCCGAACACCTGAGGGGGCAGCGCCGGGCAGAACGGGGTCCAGGGCCAGGGGAGGGAGGGGTTACACACTAAACCTATTGGTGTCAAAGCCTCGCAACTGCCGACGTCGCGAATCCCGGAAGGGAGAGAGGAGAGGGCCGGAAGGGAAGTGGGTTTAGGGAACAAGGCAAGCGGAACTCGGCGTGTGTGTGTATGTGTGTGTTTTGGCGGGCCCGCAGGGGGATTGGGGCTTTCAGATATGGAGGGCAGGGTACTACATGGGCGGTATAATACATTGGGGAGGGCAAGTACGGAGGGGAGGCCAGGTAGGGAGGGGGAAGGGCGAACAGTAAAGACGGGAAGGCTTGTGGTTTAAGAGGGTTCAGATGGGCCGAGAGATAAAGACACCGGGTTCACGCAGGTCACGGTGGTTGGTAGGACACCCCTCCTCACGGGGGGTCAGGCTACGTCGTACCATTGCAAGGGTGGGCGGGTCCACTCGACCCGGGTCCAGGGGGGTCGACAGCTCGGGGGAGGCGATGGTGTCGGCAATGCTGGCGGCGCCTGAGTGAGTGAGTGTGTGGGGAAAGACGAACCACACGCGATTAAAGCTGCTGCCAGGGTAAGAAAGTAGCAACCGAAAGAACTGACCGAAAGTGTGTGAGTGTGTGGGGGGGGAGGGGGGAGGGAAGGCAAGGGGGGTGTAGAGAGTGATGGAGTGATGTGGAGAGTGGGGAAGTGTGTGTGTGTGTGTGTGTGTGTGTGTGCTTTTACGACCTGAGCCGGGGGGGGAAGTGCTATGAGGATGCGTATGTGTGCATGTGTATTTCCCTCCTAGCCCCTCGTCGGCCCCACCTGGCCCCGCTACAGACACGATGTCCCCCGCTACAGCCTCCTCCAGCGGGATCTGTGAACGGCCGTGCAATGTACGGCAGGAGGTTTTGCGGCATACACAGATGCGGTTGGGAGCTGGGAATCAGGGAAGTTGGCGAATTGACGGGAGGAAGGTGGGTACAACATAAAAATAAACAACGCAAACATGGGGATTAGGGATTAGCAGGAACGGAAAGGCCTGATCCAGCACGTCGGAAGCAAGGCAGGCAGGAATACCGCAAAAATGGGACAGGGACGTTTTACATGTCGGCAAGGGTAACGCAGCAAACACGCAGCGCGTTAAAAAGAGGGTACCAAGCCCTCCCAGTCCTCCACGAATTAGGATAGTGTCGTGCGCCTGGGGGGGCTTGTCTGGGGTTTTGTCGTACATGTGGGGTAGGAAAAACGAGACTCGCAACGGTACAAAAAACACACTCGGCCAGCACGCGACGCACACCGCACGTCACACGCGGCTCTGACTCTTCAGAACCACACAGCCACTCAGACACCACGGCATTCATGGTCCAGTCACGGACCGGCACCACGTTTCAAAAACGCAGGCAACTGATGCTGCCCCCCAGTCCACACACCCCAACACAGCAGAAAAAAGAGGGAAGGGCAAAATAACTCAAACACCTGGAGCGAGCAACCTACATATGCCCGCGTGTGATGACGCTGCAGTCCGGCCTCTTAAGACAGACGCACATACATACATACACACGTACAAGTACTTGATGTCTTCTACCTTCAACCGACACACACAAGCACACACACACACACAGCCGCATCCTCAGCACCCCATGCCCGCCGCACAGTTCGTACAAGCCACATACACTCGCGCACCCAACAGACACGTTCACACGCATACACACACCCGCCTACCTTGTCCATTCCCGCCCTCTTGGATATGCGGGTGATGCGCACCTCGCCCCCCACCGGACCTCCCGCCTCGTAGCTCAGTACACGAACCTGGACACACCAGGGGATGGGGGGGGGAGTGGGGGGAAAGGGGGAGTTGTATGCAAGGGGACGTGTGTGCGTGTGTGTGTGTGTGTGTGTGAGTGAGGGGGGGAAATCATAGCGGGGTTAAGAAGGGGATTGCGGGGAGGATGCGCATGTGGATGGATGCCGAGAACTCGCAGTAACCTAGACAATCTCGAAACTTGTTACTAAAACCTACAGCATGCAAGGAGACAGGTCTGTCGTACTCGATCGCCGTACTCACCTTGTCGCCGATACGGACTTTGCCGGACGCGATGCGGCCTGGGGGGCCGGCACCACGGTCGTGTTGTACGGCAGTAAAACGGTGTACAGCACCCACGCATGCCATGCGGAGACAGAACGGGGGGGATGGAATGGATGGATGGACACGGTGGCCACGTGCACACAAAGCAACAGCCGCCACTGGCTGTACGGCAAGGATATCTAATAGTAAGATTCAGTTACCCGACATCCTTCCTTAACTGCTAAACGTCCCCTTCCCTTCCTCGATATCCCCTAAGTCCCGTCCGCTTTATGCCCCACCCCCACCCCCACCCCCATCCCCTCCGCCAAAACACACACGCACACGCGCCCGTGGCGATCCGCCCCACGTAGGGGTCCCTCTCGATCATGGCCACTCGCAGAGCGAATGGCCCCTCCAGATCCCCCCGGCCGGCGGGGGACGGCACGTGAGCCACAATGGCGTCCAACAACGGAGCCATACCACCGCCACCGCCACCACTGTTACCACTACTACTCGGGGACGGCGACGACGCGGCGGCGGCGGAGGGGGGGGAGGAGGGGGGGGATATTGGTTCCGTGTCCCTCTGCCCAAGCAGCTGCTGGCCATGCTGGGTGGGGAGAGTACGACTGGACCAGCCCTGGTGTGTACGTGTGTGTGCGGGGGTAGGGGGGGAGAGGGCGGGGAACGCGGGAGGTCTGTTTAGGGATGCAGCGCCAAAGAGGTCGGAGGTCGCCAACTACGGCACATGCCTGTACAAGGTGCAGGTACAAGTGTCGATGGCCAGGCATGGGCTCAGAGATGGCTAGCGGGCGAGGTGGGCGAGGCGGGGGAGGCGGGGGAGAAGGGGGAGACGGGGTAAGAAAAATGCGAGCGACGGGACCTCTTGTGCTGTGCGAGCTACATTCACGACCTCAGCTTATATACGCCCGTGACGGCAGGAGGGGCACACTTCCTACCTGCTTCGCGGAGGCGTACAGCAGCGGGAAGTCTAGTTGCTCGTCCGAGGCCCCCAGGGACACGAACAGGTCCAGGAGGGAGTTGGCGACGGCGGCACATCGCTCCGGGGTGGCGGCGGGGCGGTCCACCTGCCGGGGGGGGGGCGGAGAGGGGTAAGGGCAGGATCAGAGAGACGGTGGAGCAGGTGGAATGGAGGGAGGGATGGGGAGAGACGGACAGGGCAGGCCGGGGGACGTGTTGGTGTTAATACATCATAGTGTACGAATAGCCGGGGGGGTTACATGTATAACGAATTCGGGGGTTGTGGTGTGCAGGAAGAGGAGGAGGAGGAGGAGGAGGAGAGGTGCGCACCCGGGGGTGGGGGTGGGGGTGGGAAACATGGAAACAGCAATGCAGCGATACACTCCACTGCGCCGCCCCCAACCCCATTCGGCTGAAAGCAGATCGGAAACAGGAAGTGGGTCGTACGTCGTACGTCGTACGTCGTACGTCGTACTTACCACTGGGTCTCACCACAGCTGAGTCCGTCCGCCGCCCCCTTCGACTGCTTGCGCTTCGTCAGTACGACCTGTCCATGGCTGCCCCCCTCCCCCCGCAGGCTGCCTTTTACGGACGGCCCCAACCCCCCCACTCGTGCGGAACTCGTCCTCGCCCTTTCCGACCATTTTGTAACTCTCTCCAACCCCCTCTCCCCACATCTCTCCCCCTAACAACCTGCCTGAGGTTTGAGCGGGTGGGTTCTCCTTCCAGAGCTCTCCTTCCTCCTCTTCCCGCCGCCCCCTAATCTCATTCCCTAAGGCCCCATACTCCCCGCTTATTGGCCATCCCCCTCCGCCCCCTCCCCCTCCCCATCCGCCCCCTCCCCCTCCGCCCCCTCCCCCTCCCCCTCCGCCCCCTCCCCCTCCCCCTCCGCCCCCTCCCCCTCCGCCCCCTCCCCCTCACCTTGTTTAGCACCACCAAGGGTTTCAGGCCCCTCTCCAGCGCCTTGGCCACCACGTACTTGGTCTGGGCCAGGGGCCCCTCGGCCGCATCCACCAACAGCACGCACCCGTCGACCAGCCCAAGCACACTGCGGACAGGGGAGGCATTTTGCCGATATCCAAAAAGAGCGCTAGGAAAAGGTTTGGGAAGAAAATGACAAAAAGCTGGGGGCGTAAATGATGGCGAACGTGGCGTGGGTCTTTTTGCGATCTGGAAGTTGTGACGGGGGATTGCAGGTCGCTTCCAGAGGTTGCCGGGCGCTAAGCGGGTCCGACAACCTGGGACTCTGAGAGGAGCGGAGAGGAGCGCAGACGGAGGGAGGCGGTGGGGGCAGTAGCCGAGCTGCAGTAGCTGAGAGCCGAGCGAGAGCCCCCTGGAGCCAGCACCCTCCCCCTTCTCCGCTCTCTCACTCAGCTGTAATCTAGCCCAGTGACACAACCCAGAAATGTGTTGGCCAGTGTGGTGGCTGTACACACCACTTGGCTACACCCTCAAAGGATAAGCCCCTCTAGGGCCTTAGGTTTGAGCATCTGTACGTCTGTATGTCTGTCCATATCCGCCGGTAAGAGCTGACTGTGTATGGAACCGGTAGTCGTCCTGGGCAACTACGTACAGTTAAGCGCGCTTGATGAACCGAAAAACATTTGCTTATGGCCTCTTCGAAGCTCTCTCTCCAATCCCAGTTGTTTCTGTCCGTATTATTGTTGTAATCGTTCTTGCTGCTGCTGTTGCCGCTGCTGCTCTTACTGTTGTTGAGAAGTGGGCTTTACCGCCCCCGCTGCACAAGGAAGCATCATCGGGACTCTACTGTGGAACTCCTCCACGTTGCTGTACGGCTGTACAACAATGTCGTAATGTCGTACCGTTCTACTTCGCCGCCAAAGTCCGCATGTCCCGGCGTGTCCACCGCGTTGATGTGGAATCCACCCCAGGTAAAACTCGTCACCTGTACGACACGGGGGAATCATGCGCTTGTGAAAAGATAGCAGCGCCATTTCCCCAATGTGCATTTTCAGTCCCTCTCCTCCCTCCGCCCCAGGGACCGGTTCCCCCCTTTGACCTGATACGGCTCGTCTCTCGCGGCGGGATGTGATTGAGGTTGAGCTGGCCAGGTGGGGCGCTGGTCGCTGTTCAATAGCGGAGAATCCACAGCCCCAGCTTGCACTGCTGGCCCGCTGGCGGCAGCACCCGCACCGTGAGGAGTGACTCATTTGCGCGTCAATTGCCGTACAATGTCCCTCTACCTTTGCTAGGATGGTGATTCCCCTCTCCCGCTCCAGGGAGTGGCTGTCCATGGCCCTGTCCTCCGAGCTGCCGTGGCCGCATGCAGCCAGTAGCCGATCCATGAGGGTCGTCTTGCCGTGATCGATGTGGGCGATGATGGCGAAGTTGCGGATGCGGGATGGGTCGCGCACCGCCGCTGCCGCCACGTCGGCGCCGTCAGCATCACTGGCAGCGGCGGGAACCGCCGTGGACGTGCTCAAGCTCCGTACATCCGGCGGCATCGTTGACCGCCGCGACATAAGCAGCGTTGACCGTGGTAGGGGGGACGGAAAGCTGGATCCGTGTAGCGCCCAGGATGTGGTTTTGGCGCCCTTTGAGGATGAGTGTTGACGTGGTGATGGGTTGGGTAGCTGTGCTTGGAGGTGGGGTCGCCGCGCCATTTGACGGTCAAAGGAAGGGTGTGGCGATGCGGAGTGACCATTGCATGTTAACTGCTTCTTGGGGTCGCAGGTCTCTTGAGATACCGATAATGAATAACATGGAATGGTTGTTGCGATAGGCGGTTGTGGGACCGCCTGTGTCAGATGTGAGACCGGGATGTCGTTGAAGGCGGACAGCTGCCGGAGGCCGGCTGTGAGCGGAGTTCCAGGGACGTTGCGGGGAAAGTCTAGAATGCTTTGGATATCAGCTGAGGTCACCACACATGATCTGAAAGCAAGCAGTTGTTCCGACGATGGGGTTCCGCGCGTCGTCCGAAGTCTGATGGTCGCGGTTGAAATGGATGTCTGGACATGCCCAGAGTTGCGTAACCTCGCAGCTTCTAGTACCGAAATCGCGTCATCAAGTAACTGGGGCAACGGCGCTGCTGCGTGAAACAGCGCCAGCGCCGACGGTTGCCGACATATAGCGCTGAGGCCAGGCCTGCCCGCAAGCACTAGGGACATCATTATGGTAATACTGTAATTTGTAATCTTATCATTTCATCCCAATACCTGAGTCCAATTCGCGTTATTCTAAACTGCATCAAGGAACGTGCGCAATTGCAATTTCACAGCATGTAATATGGAAGTAGGTACTTAGCCGGCCCTGATCCAATACGTTAGGTCTCTTTGGATGTCCATCTTGTGGCGAAAGGTCAGCTCGTCCATACGGGCAACCGGCTGTGCTTGCATTTCATTTGTATCATGACTGCAGTCAAACCAAGTTCATCGCCATTCCTTTTATTTAGTACATCCCAAGGAACGATGCTTCTGCAACAACGACATGCATCTCGCCCGGCAAGGTGAACATTTTTGTATAGACCAAAGATATCCCATCCAATCACGTGATGTGTTCCGCTACTCGATCTGCCATACCTCTATTATCGATTACAACGACAGTATGCCGACGTGCGATGACTTCCAACTGACCCATGCACAGGACGGGACTGAACCAACGGCGACGCCCAGCGCCCTTTTAAAGCAGCAAGCTTTCACCCAATACCCCCTGCTCAGCCTCTGCTGAGGTTACTGAAACAGCTACAGCGGGCCCCCTTTCCGCAGGTGGGTTGTCACATTTACGTCGTGCGCCGACATCCTCACCCTCACCACTCTCACCCCCACGCATGCACCTCTTTCCGCCCTTTCCCCCGCTACCTCTGGACCCAGAAGCCTCCACCACCTCCACCGTCACCGCCTCCAGCAGTGCTTACACCACCACCACATCGACCCCCGCACCCCCCGGCGGCCACCATGGAGGGCGACCCAATGTAGTTGCACTGCTTCGCTCCAGGGGGCTGGTCCAGGAAGTGACGGGGGGGCCGGAGCTGGAGGCGGCTGGGGGGGGGGGCGGAGGGGCCGCTGTCCGTTTACTGCGGATTCGATCCCACTGCGGACTCCCTTCACCTCGGAAACCTCCTAGGTAATGTCGTACTGTCGTGGTTTCAGAGGTACGGAAGGGGGGAAGGGTTGGAAGGCTTGGGAACCGAGGATTGTGTGTATGTGTGTGCTGGGGGTGGATTGTGGGACGAGGCGGGGGATCTGCGTGCGTGTGCGTGTGTGGAGGGGGAGGGGTTACTCACAGGGAAAAGAGGGAAACGTTTGGGTTACGGGGGAATGGGGGTATGTGAAGAAAGGGATGGCAAAGGGTTCCTAAGGGGTTGCGCAAAGGGTTTTACCTGCAGAGCCCCAACTAGTGTCTATGAGTGGCAGTACCTTGCAATGACATGTAGTGGGAGTATTGTTGTTGCTGTTGTTGTTACAGGGTGGTACAGCTTCACCAGTGGCCTCCTTCCCGAGGCAGTCCCTGCTCTCCCCTGATAGAGGGGCACCCTAATCCGTTCACCCCATCCGACTTCAGAATGTATTCGTTGGGTTCAGCAACTCACCACCAGCATCCAACCAAATCTAGCGGATCAACGGCGCCTCAACTTATTTCCTGGTCAGCTCGCAAATTGCTATAATCACGTCCTACACCGTCTATATGAACCACCGGGGTGTTTTCTCTTCTCCCGCGCGCGTGTGTGTATGTGTGTATGTGTGTATGTGTGTATGTGTGTGTGTGTGTGTGTGTGTGTGTGTGTTGGCTGGCGGCGGCGGCGGCGGCGCTGCTTCTCGGGGCGCCGGCGGCTGCTGGAGTCAGCTCTGGCGCCGCCAGCTCCGGTGCAGCGGCGGCAGCAGCGTCCCTTTTAGAAGACGATGACACCGGTGAAGATGGCGGAGAGTACGACGATGTGCACGGCAGCGGTGCTGGCGGTGCCGGCGGCGGCCTAGCTGTCGTTGGTCCTGCTGAGGCGATACCCCTCCTTGACCAGGTCGGGGGGCGGATGGGCCGGTTGGCTGGTGTGGGGAGATGTGCGTTTGTGTGGGGGGAAGTTTCGGAGGGAGGGTCTCCCTCTCCTCGCGCCCGGGGTTACCCCCGTGTAACCCAACGGGGCCGTAACGCCCCCATTGGGTTACCCTCCACCGTTACCTCCATCCACCCGACACGCCTCCCCCTCACCTCTTCACCCCCTTCCACTCGCGCCTTCTTGCGGTAGGTCGCCCCGCAACCCCCTAACCTAACCCAACCTAACCTAACTCCGAGTGATGATAGACGGGCAGTTGGTGTGGCTGCCACACTGCTGTCGTGAGATATTTCCGTTTTGCCCGAAAGGAAAATTAGTGCGCCCCGGAGCATTCCGAACGGATTTTGGGCCTTTTGGAGCATTTTTTCGGGGACCCCACCGAAGCCTTTTGAAGGCATTTTCGGAGAAAACCGAACGATATTTTAGAGTAAATTTGCATGTTTTCGGGCGCAGATGGGGCCTGGAAACCGGGCTTGCCGTATAAGGCCCGCTTGGTCACCAGTCAAACAACAAGTACAAATGTGCCTTGCGGCTGTTTCGCAGCTGTATCGCAGACATTTTTTGTAAGCATATGCATAGTTAAACATGCCCGAGTCAACTGATGATGAGCGCCCAACCATGGTGCCCCGCATCTCACTCGGGATTCGCGGCTTCTTTAAGGCATCTGGTAAGCTCCTATCATGCAAATTTTTCTCCCAGGCGCTATGTTCCAAAATAAAGTCAAACACCTGTTAATTCAGCCGTCCTAGCACATAACGATAGAACCCAGCTATAATTTACCCCGAAAACCGCTTCAGACAGTTTCGGAGCACCCGAAAACATTGTCAGGTTGACAGGAAAATTTTCGGGGAGGGCCCCGAAAGGTTATTCAGAGGGTTTCGGACAAGGCTGAAATTTTTGGGTACCCTGGTGAAGAACCCCGGTGTGGCACCATCGTTATATCGGTGTCTTGCATGGCGTGTGTTCCAGGCAATCATCACCACGTATGTGTACGTATGTACGTATACCCAGATCTGGCCCGTCCTGACATAACTCAATGCGGACAATACTCCACACACACACACACACACCGCCACGGCTTGTTGAGCAGCTGTGCGAACTCGTCACACATGCCGTACAATGCCATCAAGCCAGCTATGCCGCCATGGAAGCGGGCGGTGGTGGCGGTGCTGTGGGCCCGTCGGATGATGGTGTGGACCCCGAGGCGGTGTTAGCTCGGAGGATGCGCTGGTGGGGTTGAGAGATTAGGTTGGGGGGTAGAGGTGTACAGTGTACCATATCCGCCGTGTTTGTATTGCTCTTGCTCTTTAGGTTTGCAACGTTTCAGTAAGCATTACGTCTGCAGTGCTCAAAGGCCCACATATTTATGTGCTACGGACGAGCTTGAACACAGATCGGGGTCGATAGTTGGCATGTGCAGTTGCGATTACACTGTATTGCAAAAGAGTAAATGGACTTTTCCGGAAATGTTTTCCTGTCATTTATGATAGCCACGCTGCTGCATCCTTCCCTAGAGGCGCTGTTGAGTGGCTGTGGTGGGCGTGGCGGCGCAGGTGGGTGATCACGAGTCTCAGGTGCTGTAAGACACAGCTAGAGTAATGGGCCGACACAAAAGGAGTCGACGCGGGTGCTCATCGCCAGGCAAAACCGTATCAGTCTGGGAAGCGATGATGTGCGACTAGCAGGGTTCAAGACCCAAAACGTTTGCAACACACGCTCGTCTACCTGCCTATCGGCCAATCCAAGGTCTCAGGTTCAGTATAACTGTCTGTCAACCTCAGGTTTCTGGGCAGAGTCTACCTGTCAGCAAATCCCATGTCGCCGACACATCTCCCCGCCCGGCCGTCAGGGCGATGGATTCAGGGCGATGACCTGGATCCACTTCGCCTTGCACTTTTTGATACAGGGCGATGGCCAGGTAATGGACCTACTAAACACCACCAAACCTGAACAATATCTTACCAACATTCATACAGCGAACGTTATCAACCTATGTTTCGCATTCCTTATGCCATGCAAGGGCGCCCATGTGCATGACTCCCACTCCATTCTTGTAAAGCCTCTTTGTGTAAAGCCGCACCCCTTGCTTACAACAAGCAAATCAACGGCTTGTTCCAACATTCTTCATTGATTTTAAGCCTATATGGTCCCTATGTCCGAAACGGCAAGAGATTGGGTCATGGGCTTCCCGCGCATCCATACGTCAGCTTGCTGTGCCAGCAATGGACTGGGACGCCATCCAATCATGTCTTATGATTCCTCAAGGCTTTGTGCGGATCAGAGGGTGAGCGTTGCGGCGCCACCTACGTTTTCCAACACTGGATGTTTTAGCAGCATTTCATTCCTTTTATTCATTAAAGAAATACTGAATTGTTTTCAGTTGGCAGGCTTATGTTCTCTTGCCAAGTGTGACCTTTGTTGTACGTCATCCATCGCCCTGTATCAAAAAGTGCAAGGCGAAGTGGATCCAGGTCATCGCCCTGAATCCATCGCCCTGACGGCCGGGCGGGACACATCTAGTCTCACCGGAACTTTCGGAATACGGAACAGCCGCGGACGGAACACCTATGGGGCCTATGTTTGGATTTCAGCTATAGAATATAGATAAAAGATTTCCCTGACTTTGATTTTGTTCTGATATGATCTCAGAAGTAAAGCTCAAGTAGTGCATCGCTGACCGCGATCTGCAGCAGCGCCGCATTCAAAATGTGCCCTGATCCTCAGGCGATAGAGGCGGAACTCCGCAAGCTAGAGGGCGAAATAGAGGCCGTTAATGAACAAATAGCGGCCTGCACGGACAGGGGCACGTTACGGGCATATTTACGTAGGAAGGAGGAGCAGCTACGTAGAAAGGAGGAACAGCTACGCGAGAAGGAGCTCATCTTGCTGGAGAAGGAGCTCATCTTGCTGCGTAACGGTGAGTAGTGTCAGCGCATATGCTTGGGGCCATGGCGAGGGTTGCGCTGACCCTCCGTCAAATCACGACAATGCATACCGTAGTGACAGGAAATGTTCATGATTTTATTGTTCGAGACACCCTCAAAATTACACCCGAAATTATTTTGAAACTTTTGAATTCGTGAGAAGCCAACGCAACCGAAGCAACGGTGCCTGCAATAT